GTTGCAGGCTGAGGATGCTGGGGGCTGGAGTCCTGCCAGGAGCTGGGGATTTCCTGCAGGCAGCAAGCACAGAACTTGGCCTTTGAGCCGTCACGTTGAGGCAGCAAAGGGCTGGTGCCTGTGGGAGAGTATCTGGCCGCTTGGCTCAGGGAAGCTCTATCTCTTGGCTTCTGCAGTGCTATGTGTTTCTTTTCCCTTTTTGGAAAGGTGTGTTTGGCTTGTGAAAGCAGTCTGCACTTTCCTTGCGTAGTTCTTCACTTGTACAGTGTCTTTTGGGCCAGCTGTCTTTTGGCTCTTGATAAGCTACAAGGGGAGGATTGTGTGGTCCATGCAGCTGTGGGGGGCCATTCTTGTCCCGCGTGGCCAAAGAAACAAAGTGCGGAGTTGCAAAGCCTTCTTGTGAGGCCAAAAGCAGAAGCGGCCAGTTTCTGTTGGTGCATATTTTGGTGTAGTCTGCAGCTTTGGCAAGTGCCTTGGAGCCTGGAGTGGGAGGGAAGCTGCAAGTCCTTGACCGCTGTCTTGTGTTGCTCAGAACAGGAAGGCCACCTTGCAATGGTGCCTGCTGTATCTGAAGTGAAATGGGCGCCATAGGGGTGGGGGAGCTGCGTGGGCCAAAAGGAGCCAGAGGTGCTGGCGGCCTTGAGCCACTGAAGATGAGGCAGCGCGTGGCCAGGTGGCCATCAAAGCCCAGGGCATGGTGGCCTGTGTCAGCAGCAGTGGGGCAGCAGGAGCAGGGCAGTGAGCGTGGCCCTGTGCTGGGCAGCGCTGGGGCCACAGCTGCAGTGCTGGGTGCACTTGTGGGCCCCTGGGCAGCAGAAAGTCCTTGAGGGGCTGCAGCGCGTGCACAGAAGGACTGGGGAGCTGGGCAAGGGGGTGCAGCACAAGGCCAGTGAAGAGGTGCTGAAGGAGCTTTAGCCTGGACAATGGGAAGCTCTTGAGGGACCTTCAGGCAGACTTCCATCAATCCCTGCATGACAGTGCTCAGCACAAGGGCTGTTTCTCCACCAAACGTCCCCTCACTGCATGCAAGAGCTTTAGGCACTGCAGTGGGTGACACTTGCATCTTGTGCTTTGTTGGCTCCTTGATTTGCTAGCACGAGAAGGCCTGTTCATTCTCCTGTTTTTCCAGCAAGCAAAGATGCTTCTGCACAATGTTTCCTGCCCTTCTCCTGCCCTGGATGGGATTGTGATCCAGTTTGAGTTTTCCACGTCTGCAGCAGCAGTAGCAAAGGCCTTGCTGTCGCTTTCCACGTTTTCCATTTCAGTGCTTTCAAGCTCTAAAAGCTCCATTTTCCGAGACAACCTTGCTTGCTGATAGCAGCCAGGGAGGAAAATCAACTTCATATCCATCTAGAGTTCTCTTGAGATGGCCCATTTTAATTTGGTGGCTGTGATTTAGAACGCCTAGGTCGCTATCAAATATTATGATTTGTCCTTAGAAAATGTGGTGGGTAGATCTGCAAAGAAATGAGGTTCTGCATCATAGGTACCGGCCTGTCCCTCATGCTCCTCTCTTGCCACAGATGACAGAAGCAAGAGCTGTCTCTCCCCTGGCTCCCACTGCTCCTGGAGAAGAAGCCAAAGAGGAGCAAACTGAGGGTCATGAGCGCCAGCCTCCATCAGTGGTGACACCGGAAAACTCAGATCTTGTAAGTGCCAGTTGTGTGCAGTGCTGTCTTTAGTGCAAGGCAGAGCTGCCAGGTTTGGAGCAGCCAGCACTTTGCTGTTGCAGGCTGAGGATGCGGGGGGCTGGAGTCCTGCCAGGAGCTGGGGATTTCCTGCAGGCAGCAAGCACAGAACTTGGCCTTTGAGCCATCAAGTTGAGGCAGCAAAGGGCTGGTGCCTGTGGGAGAGTATCTGGCCGCTTGGCTCAGGGAAGCTCTATCTCTTGGCTTCTGCAGTGCTATGTGTTTCTTTTCCCTTTTTGGAAAGGTGTGTTTGGCTTGTGAAAGCAGTCTGCACTTTCCTTGCGTAGTTCTTCACTTGTACAGTGTCTTTTGGGCCAGCTGTCTTTTGGCTCTTGATAAGCTACAAGGGGAGGATTGTGTGGTCCATGCAGCTGTGGGGGGCCATTCTTGTCCCGCGTGGCCAAAGAAACAAAGTGCGGAGTTGCAAAGCCTTCTTGTGAGGCCAAAAGCGGAAGCGGCCAGTTTCTGTTGGTGCATATTTTGGTGTAGTCTGCAGCTTTGGCAAGTGCCTTGGAGCCTGGAGTGGGAGGGAAGCTGCAAGTCCTTGACCACTGTCTTGTGTTGCTCAGAACAGGAAGGCCATCTTGCAATGGTGCCTGCTGTATCTGAAGTGAAATGGGCACCATAGGGGCGGGGGAGCTGCGTGGGCCAAAAGGAGCCAGAGGTGCTGGCGGCCTTGAGCCACTGAAGATGAGGCAGCGCGTGGCCAGGTGGCCAAGAAGGCCCAGGGCATGGTGGCCTGTGTCAGCAGCAGTGGGGCAGCAGGAGCAGGGCAGTGAGCGTGGCCCTGTGCTGGGCAGCGCTGGGGCCACAGCTGCAGTGCTGGGTGCACTTGTGGGCCCCTGGGCAGCAGAAAGTCCTTGAGGGGCTGCAGCGCGTGCACAGAAGGACTGGGGAGCTGGGCAAGGGGGTGCAGCACAAGGCCAGTGAAGAGGTGCTGAAGGAGCTTTAGCCTGGACAATGGGAGGCTCTTGAGGGACCTTCAGGCAGACTTCCATCAATCCCTGCATGACAGTGCTCAGCACAAGGGCTGTTTCTCCACCAAACGTCCCCTCACTGCATGCAAGAGCTTTAGGCACTGCAGTGGGTGACACTTGCATCTTGTGCTTTGTTGGCTCCTTGATTTGCTAGCACGAGAAGGCCTGTTCATTCTCCTGTTTTTCCAGCAAGCAAAGATGCTTCTGCACAATGTTTCCTGCCCTTCTCCTGCCCTGGATGGGATTGTGATCCAGTTTGAGTTTTCCGCGTCTGCAGCAGTAGTAGCAAAGGCCTTGCTGTCGCTTTCCACGTTTTCCATTTCAGTGCTTTCAAGCTCTAAAAGCTCCGTTTTCCGAGACAACCTTGCTTGCTGATAGCAGCCAGGGAGGAAAATCAACTTCATATCCATCTAGAGTTCTCTTGAGATGGCCCATTTTAATTTGGTGGCTGTGATTTAGAACGCCTAGGTCGCTATCAAATATTATGATTTGTCCTTAGAAAATGTGGTGGGTAGATCTGCAAAGAAATGAGGTTCTGCATCATAGGTACCGGCCTGTCCCTCATGCTCCTCTCTTGCCACAGATGACAGAAGCAAGAGCTGTCTCTCCCCTGGCTCCCACTGCTCCTGGAGAAGAAGCCAAAGAGGAGCAAACTGAGGGTCATGAGCGCCAGCCTCCATCAGTGGTGACACCGGAAAACTCAGATCTTGTAAGTGCCAGTTGTGTGCAGTGCTGTCTTTAGTGCAAGGCAGAGCTGCCAGGTTTGGAGCAGCCAGCACTTTGCTGTTGCAGGCTGAGGATGCTGGGGGCTGGAGTCCTGCCAGGAGCTGGGGATTTCCTGCAGGCAGCAAGCACAGAACTTGGCCTTTGAGCCGTCACGTTGAGGCAGCAAAGGGCTGGTGCCTGTGGGAGAGTATCTGGCCGCTTGGCTCAGGGAAGCTCTATCTCTTGGCTTCTGCAGTGCTATGTGTTTCTTTTCCCTTTTTGGAAAGGTGTGTTTGGCTTGTGAAAGCAGTCTGCACTTTCCTTGCGTAGTTCTTCACTTGTACAGTGTCTTTTGGGCCAGCTGTCTTTTGGCTCTTGATAAGCTACAAGGGGAGGATTGTGTGGTCCATGCAGCTGTGGGGGGCCATTCTTGTCCCGCGTGGCCAAAGAAACAAAGTGCGGAGTTGCAAAGCCTTCTTGTGAGGCCAAAAGCAGAAGCGGCCAGTTTCTGTTGGTGCATATTTTGGTGTAGTCTGCAGCTTTGGCAAGTGCCTTGGAGCCTGGAGTGGAAGGGAAGCTGCAAGTCCTTGACCGCTGTCTTGTGTTGCTCAGAACAGGAAGGCCACCTTGCAATGGTGCCTGCTGTATCTGAAGTGAAATGGGCACCATAGGGGCGGGGGAGCTGCGTGGGCCAAAAGGAGCCAGAGGTGCTGGCGGCCTTGAGCCACTGAAGATGAGGCAGCGCGTGGCCAGGTGGCCATCAAGGCCCAGGGCATGGTGGCCTGTGTCAGCAGCAGTGGGGCAGCAGGAGCAGGGCAGTGAGCGTGGCCCTGTGCTGGGCAGCGCTGGGGCCACAGCTGCAGCGCTGGGGCCACAGCTGCAGTGCTGGGTGCACTTGTGGGCCCCTGGGCAGCAGAAAGTCCTTGAGGGGCTGCAGCGCGTGCACAGAAGGACTGGGGAGCTGGGCAAGGGGGTGCAGCACAAGGCCAGTGAAGAGGTGCTGAAGGAGCTTTAGCCTGGACAATGGGAGGCTCTTGAGGGACCTTCAGGCAGACTTCCATCAATCCCTGCATGACAGTGCTCAGCACAAGGGCTGTTTCTCCACCAAACATCCCCTCACTGCATGCAAGGGCTTTAGGCACTGCAGTGGGTGACACTTGCATCTTGTGCTTTGTTGGCTCCTTGATTTGCTAGCACGAGAAGGCCTGTTCATTCTCCTGTTTTTCCAGCAAGCAAAGATGCTTCTGCACAATGTTTCCTGCCCTTCTCCTGCCCTGGATGGGATTGTGATCCAGTTTGAGTTTTCCACATCTGCAGCAGCAGTAGCAAAGGCCTTGCTGTCGCTTTCCACGTTTTCCATTTCAGTGCTTTCAAGCTCTAAAAGCTCCGTTTTGCCGAGACAACCTTGCTTGCTGATAGCAGCCAGGGAGGAAAATCAACTTCATATCCATCTAGAGTTCTCTTGAGATGGCCCATTTTAATTTGGTGGCTGTGATTTAGAACGCCTAGGTCGCTATCAAATATTATGATTTGTCCTTAGAAAATGTGGTGGGTAGATCTGCAAAGAAATGAGGTTCTGCATCATAGGTACCGGCCTGTCCCTCATGCCTCTCTCTTGCCACAGATGATAGAAGCAAGAGCTGTCTCTCCCCTGGCTCCCACTGCTCCTGGAGAAGAAGCCAAAGAGGAGCAAACTGAGGGTCATGAGCGCCAGCCTCCATCAGTGGTGACACCGGAAAACTCAGATCTTGTAAGTGCCAGTTGTGTGCAGTGCTGTCTTTAGTGCAAGGCAGAGCTGCCAGGTTTGGAGCAGCCAGCACTTTGCTGTTGCAGGCTGAGGATGCTGGGGGCTGGAGTCCTGCCAGGAGCTGGGGATTTCCTGCAGGCAGCAAGCACAGAACTTGGCCTTTGAGCCGTCACGTTGAGGCAGCAAAGGGCTGGTGCCTGTGGGAGAGTATCTGGCCGCTTGGCTCAGGGAAGCTCTATCTCTTGGCTTCTGCAGTGCTATGTGTTTCTTTTCCCTTTTTGGAAAGGTGTGTTTGGCTTGTGAAAGCAGTCTGCACTTTCCTTGCGTAGTTCTTCACTTGTACAGTGTCTTTTGGGCCAGCTGTCTTTTGGCTCTTGATAAGCTACAAGGGGAGGATTGTGTGGTCCATGCAGCTGTGGGGGGCCATTCTTGTCCCGCGTGGCCAAAGAAACAAAGTGCGGAGTTGCAAAGCCTTCTTGTGAGGCCAAAAGCAGAAGCGGCCAGTTTCTGTTGGTGCATATTTTGGTGTAGTCTGCAGCTTTGGCAAGTGCCTTGGAGCCTGGAGTGGGAGGGAAGCTGCAAGTCCTTGACCACTGTCCTTTGTTGCTCAGAACAGGAAGGCCATCTTGCAATGGTGCCTGCTGTATCTGAAGTGAAATGGGCACCATAGGGGCGGGGGAGCTGCGTGGGCCAAAAGGAGCCAGAGGTGCTGGCGGCCTTGAGCCACTGAAGATGAGGCAGCGCGTGGCCAGGTGGCCAAGAAGGCCCAGGGCATGGTGGCCTGTGTCAGCAGCAGTGGGGCAGCAGGAGCAGGGCAGTGAGCGTGGCCCTGTGCTGGGCAGCGCTGGGGCCACAGCTGCAGTGCTGGGTGCACTTGTGGGCCCCTGGGCAGCAGAAAGTCCTTGAGGGGCTGCAGCGCGTGCACAGAAGGACTGGGGAGCTGGGCAAGGGGGTGCAGCACAAGGCCAGTGAAGAGGTGCTGAAGGAGCTTTAGCCTGGACAATGGGAGGCTCTTGAGGGACCTTCAGGCAGACTTCCATCAATCCCTGCATGACAGTGCTCAGCACAAGGGCTGTTTCTCCACCAAACATCCCCTCACTGCATGCAAGGGCTTTAGGCACTGCAGTGGGTGACACTTGCATCTTGTGGTTATTGGTTTTCTGTGAGGAGTACATGTGATGATTTTCTATTGTTTCAGTAATTCTGGTTGCTATTCCTCTCTCTTTCCTTTCCTTTTCTAGGTGTCGGAGAAATTGTGCTATATATCTATTTTTTAAGGTGGAAATTCTGGAAGATGCAGTTTTTTTTTGCCTGGGAACACATCGGTTGGGGCTGGGTCCTTGTTACAGGAGGAATTCTTCTGGTTTTAGCCCAGCCAGTAGGGCCTTGATTTGGCCTTCAGATTAACATTGCCCTGGCCTTCTTGTAGTCCACTGAATCAGGGTGTGTTGTGTGTGGGAATTGAGCAAGAAATCAATGCCCTTGCATTCCAGCTGGTCCTCTGAGGTCAGACAGGCTTATAATGGCTGGGCTGCATTTCTGATTCCTGCCACTTTAGCACCATCAGTGTGGTCTAGTCCAAGAAAAGAAGTTGCTCGATCACAGATGCACAAAGAGGGCAGTTCCCAGTGCAGTGCTTTGGATCTGATCACTTTCCATAAGGACCTACACACTCCAGATTCCCCAAGAGTGTGGTTTATTGAAGCAACAGGAGATCACGTTCAGGATCGCTCATGATCGGGGCACTGGCTACTGAGTGTTGATGTGTGTAGCAACAGAAAGCAACAGTAGAGATTGTAGAGAGTGAGATGCATCTGTCTGTCCGTCTATCTATCTATCTATCTATCTATCTATCTATCTATCTATCTATGCTATGTAAAATTTACATATTGAATCTTCCTGGCTCTAGTCCAAAGCAGTTGGAGAAGCAAAATTCCACATGCTAAAGCATCACGTTCAGGAGAGGACTAGAGAACACATTTCATTGACTGATTCTGAGCACAGAGAGATGTTTCCCCTCCAGATATGGTGGTTTTTTCCCCTCAGAGCCGTTTGCCTCCTCCAGTCTCTTCTTCCCTAAAGCCCCTAGTTAAATCTTTTAATTTTCTGCCTGTCCTAGAGAGGTGGAAGAATTACAGGTTTTAGGGGGTGAAGAGAACTCCAGAAGTGTCTCTCACAAGGAGTGAGCTCACCCAGGAAGCCACCTGCAGAGGCAGGATGGAGCTGTGGGACAGGGCAGGGTGTCAGTCACTACTGAAAGACAAACAGGACATGGCAGAAGCAGAGGGAGGCCCTCAGCAGACCCCTGAGAAATGCCACACCTTCCCAACCTCAGCTGCCTGAGAGGCTGTTGGAGCTTCAGTCCCAGATGGCCCCTGATTGTAGGGCCAGGGTCACTTTGGAATCTGTGCCTCCCCTTGAACAGAGAATGACCCAAGAGAGCAGCAGCACAGTGCTTTTGGAACTTGTGAGCCCAGCAGTCTTTGAGTCTTGACCCACAAAGCTCATATGGGAAATTGAAACCCATCTTCTCTTGCTTTCTGTGCAGGTGCTTCTAGAGAAAGAGCAGGAGCAGACTGCCTTATCTGAGATGCCATGGCAGACTCAGGGAGAGCTGTTCCCAGCCCGAGAGCAGGAAGAGCAGCTCAGGCAGCAGGTGGAAGAGCCACAGGAGAATGGCCAGGTAAGCCTGACTGGCCAGGGGACAGAGGGAAGGGCAGGAAGAGGGGCATAAAGCAGAGCTCTTGGGACTGAGGAGGCCAGGAGTCCCACGGGCACTGGAAGCACAGAGCTTTGGAATCTGCAGAGATCAGCACTGGGATAGGAGGGTTATATTGGAAGCAGATGTGGGGAGGGAAGCAGAAAGAAGGGGCTGAATAAATGTGATTTTTGAGGCTGCAAGAGGAAAAAGCTGAGCCTGATGGCAGCTCCCAGTCACTTGCTCTGCATTTGTGTGTACAGAACATCAAGGCAGAGCCACAAGCAGAGCTGCCCGAAGCTCAGAGTGCCATCATGGCAGTGAAGAGCAGGAACAAGGAAGACATGAGAAGAATACAAGAGGAGAATCTCAATCAGCAGAGGGGCGATCAACAAAACCAGGTGAGTGAAAGAGTGGCAGCCACTCCACTCATGAAACATCCTCTCACTTGTTTTTTAGAGAACATGAAGGAACAGCTGAACGCAGAGCTTCAGATAGCTCACGCTAGGATCAAGGCATGGGAGAAGAGGCTTGAGGAAGAAATGAAAATTATCAGAGAGAAAGCTAATCGCCTCCCTCAGGCTCTAGAAAAGCAAGTGAGTGAAAGAGGGATGCAGTCACTGCAGCCAGCAAACTGGTGGTTTCTGCCCCCCTTGCCTTTCCACTGCAGAGCAGCAGGGAGTGGGGCCATGCCTCTGAGTGCCATCCTGCTGTGGTCTGTATCACAGCTGCTCTGATGGACACTTCCTGGGCTGCTGAATAGCCTTGTTTCTTGAGGTGTTTTACAGGGGATTATGGTGACCTAGATGGGGGATTGAACCAAGCTGCCTGTATCCCCTGTCAATCTGTTCTTTGCCTTTCCTCACAGTCAATGACTCCTGGCTGACAGGGACAAGCTGTAGTGTCTGACTGCTTTGTTCTGTTTGATTTGAGGTGCAAGTGTTGACATCTTACCGGGCAGTCTGCGAAGACTTCCAGCGAATTTCTGGCAATGAAGAGCCCCAAGTTAGGAGTGAGGCACAGGTACCATCCCCACCAGAAGTGCTACAGGTTGAGTATGACCTTAAGATGGTGCAGGAAAAAGGACAGTGGGAGGAGGCAGAACACTTGAGCAAGGAGCTGCAAGGGTGTCTGCAGCCCTTGAAGGGGAAAAAGAATCCTTGAGAGGAAGTGGAATGGTCATTGTGGCAGTCATCCTTTGGAAAATCCATGAAAATGGAACATGAATCTGGCCACAAACTCAAGTAAAACTTGCCTTTGGTTTTGACCCATCCAGTTTGAGAAGTGGACATCAGAAAAAAAACATTGAAGAGCCCTGCATGTGGCTGACAGCACCTTCCTAAGGGCTTGCATTTCAATAGGGGATCTCAGGGTCATCTATGCCAGCCACCTTTCTGACATCAACTCATTTCTTCTCTCAGATCTACACAGGCTCTGTCACCAAACCTGCTGCAGCAGCAGCAGCAGCATTGTCTAAAGGAGCCTTTGCTCCCCAACCTGAGAAGTGGAGCCGGGGAAGTTTGTTCACCTCCCGCACTGACCCAGCTGCTGCTCAGCAACAGGAGATCGAGGGTGACTCCCTGGAGCTGCTGAGTACGTCTGCTGTATTTCTTGTCTGAGGGACAGTGCATTGTGTGCAGGTGTCAGCATAGCTGTACCAAATGTTTCTCCTGAGTTTGGTATCATGGGGACATTTAAGGACGTTTCTCCACAGGAACTGCTGTAGAAAATCAGTCTCTGTGCTGGCCACCTGTGCTGCAGAGCTGTCTGCCTGGTTGTTGTTGTTACCCAGCCAATCACAATGGGCTCAGAGCTCCAGGCACTGGGGCTGCCTTTTGTATCTCCTGGAAGCTGGGATCTCTGCTTTAAAGTCAGCATCTTGCATTTTGTTTCCCTCAGGGAAATTGGTGAACCCCACTGAAAATCCCCTGATGAAATACACTGAGCTGGAACATATTGGCAGCGGGTGAGTCCAACCACAGTTACTTCAACATAACCACGGGCCAGGTGTTTTTCTGGTGGAATGTCTATCTAGCGTAAAGTCAGGCCAGCTGCAAAGATGTTCACACTGGGGATAGATTGTCCCATCTCTCAGTGCTGCTCAGAATTTGTGAGTGGGCTCAGAAGGCATTGTCAGAGACACCTCCGTGCTGCCGAGGTCTTGCCTGCATCAAGGAACAGGAACTGGAAGGTCTCCTTGCCTCTCAAGTGTGGGACACTTCTGTGTTAATTTCTTTAGCATTTTTAAATATCTCTAATTCATACAGCCACACTAATAAAAGGGTAAGAATCTTGCTTGCCTGAATGAGCAACCTGCTCCATGATAGCTGTGAGGAACAGTTCTCAGGAACGTTTCTTTCCAAGAGTTTGCTGAAGGAAATACTCTGTGGTCAGGATAGAAACTGCACAGTTTAGAAAGTGAAGCCCGTGGTGAAAGAAGAAGCTGTCTTTAGGAGCTGAGGCAGTAAACCCCAACACTTCAGGAACAGGCCCAGCGTCCATGCACTTGAGAGGAAAATGCATCATCTGCCTTCTGGCAGAACCAGATGCATCCTGCAGGTTTTAGGCATTTACAGCACAGATCTCCTGTGTGGGCTGGCTCTCACTGCAAGATCTAAATGGCTTCTCCTTTCTCTGCTTCTGGTTTGTTTCTAGGACTTTTGGAGATGTTTGCAGAGCACTTATCAATGCCACAGGAAGAGAGGTAAATGTCAACAGGCCCTGCAAACTCTGCTGCTCTTGAGGGGCTTTCCCCTCTGGTGTGAGCTGTGGCTGGACCTTTGGGCAGAGCTATGCTGAGAAGGCACAAGAAGCACAGACTGGTGCCAGCCTGCAAAATACATTTGGGACTTTGTCCTCCTCAGCCTTCCTCGGAAGGAAGGCACGGAGGGCAGCGGTTCCTTTCAGAGAAGGACGCGCTCGCTCGCTCTCCATTGCTAAAACAAAGGTGGTGCCTTCGAGCACCTCACTGCTCTTTGGGGCTACAGCTTCAGAGTCCTGAATTCTCATTTCTGGCTGCCAGCAAATACATCTGAAAGTTACTGGTAGTTCCTTAGCCACCTGCAGTGCTGTACTTGGGAACTGCACGTAGGGAGAGATCTGTAAGGTGCCCTAAAAGCCCTAAGCCCTGCCCATAGCCCAAGATGTATCCACAGAGTATTAAGGCATGGATTACTTCTTCTGAATCCTAGAAAGAGCAGCAGAGAGTGTGGTCAGAGGTTTGTGGGTGATAGCTGAGACACCACTATTACCAAGTGGTGTCTCAAGGCAAAACGTCAGTGGCCCCACGTGTCCTGTAACTGGCCCCCAAGGGAGCAGAGAAATGGGCTGTTGGAATTGCACTGTTACTGCAGTGCCTCATCACAAGGCAGTTTGGCACAGCTCAGCTGTGTCATTGCAAAATCACTCGCTCCATGTGCATTGTGGTCTCATGCCACCAACTTCTCAACTTACTGATTTTTGATGTCATTTTAGCTGGCCATAAAGAAAATACATCTTCAAGGACTGAGGAAGAAGGAACTAAAAGTCAATGAACTCATGGTCATGAAAATGAGTAGGAATCTCAACCTGGTCAACTATTTAGACAGGTGAGTTGTTGTGAATGTTTCTTTACATATGGCAAACGTGCAAGGTAAAATCCCACTTTGGTCACTGGCAGAAAATAGAACTATAATTATAGGTTAATTATTATTGCTCTTTTCATCTCCAATGGATGGGAAGAGAGTGCATCTTGTCTGCATGAGTCTTCTCTGACACACATAGTTTGAAAATTATTCAGAAACCTACATCAGTCATATCTTACTAAATCAATAGCCTGTAAGTTCACAGCCACCACTTTGTTTTGGGGCGTGATTTTATTCAAGTGTCTTTTTATGTCCGGGTAAACTAACATGGATTTTCCTTGGATTGTTTCCCCTCTTTTCCATTGCTTTGCATGCCAGGAAGACTAGGTGCTTTTTCCCAGAAACACAGGGTGACAGGTTTTCTATCTCTTACTAAAATGCATTTTTGACTTGCTGCCCATCTAAGATATCTCTTTCTTCACAGCTATGCCTTTCTTCTTGAGACTGTGCAGATTGCAAACAACGCACAGCTGAAAGGGAATGTCTATTCCTTTGATTCTGTCCTTGTCACAAAGGGACCTGGAAACAGGAATCAGTCAAGAAAACAACCTAGCCATGCATGTTCATCTCCACACCCTTGTTTCCTTCTCTCAGCTACCTTGTGGGTGAGGAACTCTGGCTGGTTATGGAGTACATGGATGGAGGCACTCTGAGTGATGTCATCAGCAAGACCTACCTGTCTGAAGATGAGACAGCAGCCATCAGTCGGGAGGTCAGCAATCCCATCTGTGTTTCCAAGGGCTTGGGCGGGATTGTCTGGGGAACAGGGTCTCAGAGCTGGAGTGATTTCCTGTGCCAAGCTTTGTTTCTGTGTGGCTGCTATGCTATGGGCAAGTAAAAGCATCTCAAGTGAAAGGCCTGCCCGTGCCCCTGCACTCACTGTACTCAGTGCCAGTACTCTTATCTCCTGCTGTTGATTTGTCACTCTGTCTCTTGTATTTATATTTGCTGCTCTCCACCTTGCCTCTCTAAATGTTTGCATGGAGTCTATCTTCACTGCATTCCTTGCCTGTGAAAGCAAAGGTGCTGGTGGCAGGATTTGAAACAAGCAGCAAAGAAAAAAGAGAGACTCATTTCTCACAGTCCTCAGTTAAAAAGGATAGGAGTGCAGCCAAAATGCTCTTTGCTTCTGGAAGGTGACTGATGTGATACTTCCAAGCCCGTGCTGAGGCCAGCAAGAAAATCTTTGTCATGCAGCCTCCCACCCAAAAGTGATCCACTTCACACCAAAGGGATGGACTTTTCCTGTCTTGACAAAGCCCCTTCTTTGTCCTCTGCATGGAAAAAGCATGTCCACTGCAGCAGGAGTCATCCTGGCTGGTTTGCAGGGGACAGCCTACAACAGCAGGTGCTGTTGCTCTTTCAAAAGCTGACGTGCCTTTCCTCAGAAAGGACCTGCTCTGCAAGTGTTGGAGCAGCAAGCTCTTCCTCTCAGTGGCCATTACTGTTCTGCCATTACTCCCCATTCCCCTGGAGAGGAAATCTTTTGGAGCTGTTTCCTTTCTTGTATGATGAAATCACATCACTCATTTTTGTCCTCCTGTTCCTGTTTTCTTTCTCAGTGCCTGCAAGGACTGGATTTTCTTCATTCAAACAATGTGATCCACCAAGATGTGAAGAGCAGCAAGATCCTTCTCAAAACCGACGGCTCTGTCAAGCTGGGTCAGTATATTCTTGGTCAGGTGCAGCGTTCCAGGGATGTGGGTGTGGGGCTGCTTGGAGTGACAGCCAGCTCCCCAAAAATGGTGCTGGTGGCAGTGCAGGGACCCCTGCTGCAAGCTGAAAGCACAGTTGCAACATGCACAGAGGTATAAGGAACCACAAGCAGTCAAGAGTGGCCTTGCTCTGTGTGTGTCCCTTCCAGACAGAGGGAGCTACAATCTAAAGCTTCAGGGGAATAAAGTCCACTGCTGTGAGCAGCGTTAAAAAACCTGGGGTTTTTTGGAAGTGGCCAATTCTATACTCCCTTGGCTAAAGCCCTGAGGAAATCAAGCATGGACAGTTCTCCAAGAGATTCAACAGCACATTCTTAGCCTGAGAGTGGGGAATTCTTTTGCTTGGTTTCCTAATTGGAGCTGACTTTCATGGTTTGTTGTTTTCTCCACAGCTGATTTTGGCCTCTTTACTCAGCTCACCCCTGAGCAGGGCAGACGGAGCTCCGTGGCCCGCACTTCTGGGTGGCTGGCGCCTGAAGTGGTGACAGGTCAACCATTTGGCCCCAAAGTGGACATATGGTCTTTGGGAATCGTGGGCATCGAAATGGTGGAACGAGAAGTTCCTTACTGGAATGCAACTCCTGTCTTGGTAAGGTGCAAATACTCACTGATCCCACTGTCTTTCTCACCTGTCCCATGTTCTGTGTCCCACTGGACAAAATCCCATTGCCATCAGCTGGCACCACTTCCACCAAGGTCCCCTTCTAAAAATGTCCCTGCAACACATCAGCACCTGCTGTAGCTTTGGTTGCATCAGAAAGGGAAGTGGCAGTTCAGAAACCTAACCAGTTCAGAAACCTAACCAGTTTAGAAACCTGCCATTTTGGCCTGCAGCCATGCCTGACATTTCTCGTTTGCTTTTTGAACCCTGATGGAGCTCTGTCTCTGAAGGACAGGAAGTTTTCAGTGGAACGGTTGGATGTGTGATAAATATCCTTTGAAATGGACATTGAGTCTTCCCAGCTTGAGTTTTATAGAAAAAGAAAAAGCAAAAAAGAAACAACCAGCAAAGCAATGCCCAAGTTCTGCTCTCTTTTTTCCTTTTTGAACCACAGCACATCAATTTTCCTCTATACTGTAGCATCTGTTCCAAATCCTGTGGGTCTTATAAACTTATCATGTGTGTGGGTGGCCTGGATAAGTTTTGGATGCATTTTTCTCCGACTGCAGTTAGAATTGTATGCCAAACTCTTGGTTGTTCCTTGGTACTTTAACAAGTTGATGAGCTTGCAGGCAGGTGCCTGGGCTGGGATCCAACGTGGGCAGTTGACACCGGTGCTGTGTTTCTTTACTATAGGAGCAGGGCTGTCCCTGGCCTGCACAGTTCTAATGATAGTGAGGACTCCAGCTCCCCACCACGGCCAGTGGCTAAGCATAGCTGCAGAGGGACAGGATAAAACCCCCTTTGTGACCTCTGGTGGTGTGGGAAAAGGAAAGAAAGCTGCCATAATTATTCATACTCAAGGGGAGTGTGTTTGTTGTTTTAGGCTTGGAAATTTTCCTCTGGGTTGAAGAGGATAATAATAAAGCCTCTTTGGTCACCATCTATTTCAGTGCCACCAGCACAGAGCTGTTAGTATTGTGATGGGCACTATTATGGAGACCAGGCCACAGCCTGGGGTCATGGAGATCCTGCCAAACCTCCCATTTCTTACCCGACACTTTCTGCGATGGGCACACCTTTAATGCATTGACTTGAGTATCCAAATGAGCAGAGGGTGACCATAGGCACGGCAGTTCTTCTGATTTGACCCTGAAAAGGTTTCCTTTTGTCACATAAAGAAGCTGAAACTTGCAGCTGAGAGACAGAGCTGCAGGTGGCTCCTGTGCACCCAAGCAGGCATTTTCACCTCAATATATTTGTGCATGCATCTTAATGTGTATGTATTGAATATGAGATTGCAAAAATGTTTGTTTCCTTACCTGAGGAATAGCTGGTGGATTTCCTTTCTTTCCTTCCAATTCCCACTGTTTTCAAGAACAAAGCAAAAACATTGATTAGTTTTGTTTTATGGCAGCTGTGCTTAAGGGACCAACAAGCACTGAAGAGATATTTTTCACGTACTAATCCTTGGGAAACAGTAGAGTTAGTATAGCAAAGTCCCTCTTCCAAAAAGCTTCTCAAGTTGGTGTGAATCCTCAGAGAAGCAAATGTGCTTTTGCTGATGTAGTTCCCACTGCCTAGGTCAGTCAATGAAATCAGCTGCCAAGGCCAGATCTGTGGGATGTTGGAAAAGCTGTGGCTGCATTGGAGTTTGGGGTTTTTGGTTGGTAAAGGAAAGTCATCTCTGGGTCTCTGCCAGGGCAGAAACTGCCACTGCAGAGTGGAGCTTAATCGATGGGATCTGGGAGAGCAGTTACAGATGGGAAAGAAGCAGGTGGAGCCTCGTGTCTCCTTTTTCCCCAGGTTAAACTCATGATAGCCAGGGGAGAGAGACCACAGCTGCGGCAGCCCAACCGATTCTCGCCTTGCCTGCGTGACTTCCTGAGCTGCTGCCTGCAGACAGACCAGGAGCGGCGCTGGTCTGCCAAGGAGCTCCTGCAGGTAAAATGTGAAGGGGCTGCAGGTGAAACAGGCTCTGAGGGATGGGCTCCTCCTCCACTCAAGTCCAAGGCATCAGATGAGCCCCCTTCCTCCTCACCTCCACTCTTGCTGCTCTTCAAATGAAAATTGTGAGGAATCCCAGACTGGGCTGGGCTGGCAGGGCCCTGTAAAGGTCCTGTGGTGCAAGTGTCCTGCAATGAGCAGGGACATCTTTACAGAAATCAGGTTGCTCAGAGCCCTTTGCCACCGGAGCCGGAATGGTTGCGGGGATGGGGCAGCTACAAGCTCTTGGGGCAAGCTGTGCCAGGGCTGCACCATGCTCTGAGTAAGCAAGTTCTTCCTTAGGCCTACTCTGACTTGATCCCCATTTTGTTTAAAAATATTCACCCACATCCTATTGTAACTGGCCCTGTTAAAAAAGATGTCCCTCACTTTCTTCAGAGCCACTCTGAAGTCTTGGAAAGTGGCAATAAAGTCTCCCTGGGGCCTGTTCTTCACAAAACTGAATAACTCCTCCTCTCTCCGCATTTCCAGAGAGGAGAGGTGCTCTGTCCTCTGACTGTTTCTGTCACCCTCTTTTGTAATTTGGTGGAGTGTTCAGTTTTATCTAATGGCAAAAGAATTGAAGCAGAGCAATGCAGGGTACAGAGACATGAAATGGTGGTGGAGGAACCCAAGGAAGCCAGTCCCAGCTGAGCAGTCAGAGATTTGGCTGTGGGCAGGGGGGGCTGTGGGGGGCTCACTGGGAGCCTCTGAGGGGCCCTGCTTTGTGCCCCCCAGCCCACCCTTAGAGGTTTCTGGCACCCAAACAGGGACAGCTGGGAGGGACTTGTCCCAGCCCCATCTGCTGCCTGGCACGCCCAAGCAGACGGGAACTGTGCCAGGGTTACTGCCAGGTTGTGTGGCAGAGGGGGAACTGCAGGGCCCAGTGCCACTGGGCTGGCCCTGCTGGGAAGGAAGGTGCCATCCAGCACACGAGGGGCAGGGCATGGAAAGGTAGATACTGCTTTCTGTCCCTGTGGGAATCAGCACAGTGCCTGTCTTTCAAAGACAGGGACCTATGTGAGTCATTGGAGTTTCCTGAAAAGAAGAAACCCCAGGGACAGAAAGCACCATTTCTAGAGCACTGGCAGGAGAAAGATCCCAACAAGATGAAGAAACCAGAAAAAACAGATGAATGGCATTCTGGGCCAGGTTTGTCTGGAATGGCAAAGTCCTGCACATGACTGCTGGGTAGCAGATGATCCCATCGCTCCTCTTTCTGTGTCTTTCTAGGAACTAGAGGAATCCTGATTGAGTCTGTAAAGCACTGAGCTTGGAAAGTCATGGTTCACTGATCTTTGTGTTTTTTTTTTTTTTTCCTGTGTACAGCATCCATTTGTAACTTCAGCCAAGCCAGTGTCCACCCTGGTACCACTCATCAACTCAGTAATGAAGAAGAAGAAGAAGGAGACAAGAATGTAAAAATCAAGATGTTATCTTCCTAACTAACTTAGAGTAGGATTGTAGAGTAGGACTCTAGAGTAGGATTGTTGAGTAGTTTTGTAGTACAGGTTTATAGAGTAGTATTGTTATTAAATAAAGTTTCTGAAACAATAACTCATTTGGAAGATTCACCTCCTTCTGACCCCTTCAGAAAGTTCAGCATTTTCTTCTAAATTGCCAGTGTTTTTTAATTGGTGCTAAGACATGCTTATGGCTTCTTTGGTATGGTTTGCAAGTGGTGAAGGTTCTTCTTCATTCATCCTCTCCAGACCACACTGCCTTTGAAATATGGCCCACTAGCCCATTTTGGCACATCTGTGACACTTCTAGGTGAGGCAGAAAGAGCAATGGCATTTGAAGGCAAAACCAAAGGAAGAATGGGGCAGCCCAAACATCATCCTGTGCAGATGCAGGCGTTCAGCTGTGACTGGAGAGCACTGGGGCTCCTGCCACTTGGATTTGGATCCCTAAATGCAATCTCTTTGGCTGGAGGAGAGCCTTACTCAAGTGAGAAAGCAGAAAGATCAGAGAGGGTGCTCAGCAAGGTCTCCTGTGGTGCAGAGCTGTCAGCCCCTGTGAGGTGAGAGCGGGCCCGGCCTTGCCCGGGCTGGAGCCCCAGCAGAGCCCCGGCAGAGGCCGGAGCAGGCTGAGCCCCGGCAGAGGCAGGCTGGAAGGAGGCCCTTGGAGCTGCAAGAGGCAGCAGCCGGGCCCTGGGTGCCTGTTCCTGGGAGCGGGCAAATCCTGCGCTCTCAGAGCCCAGGTGGCAGCTGGCTGCTGCCGAGGGGAAGCGCAGCCGTGCTGGGCACAGCCCAGCCTGGAGGCATTGGCCGTCTGGAGTGTGCCCAGGAGCAGAGAAAGGCCAAGGGCAGCCGAGAGCCGCTGGGCTGGCTGAGGATTCCTCCTCTTCTGCTGGCTGCCCTGCAACTCCTGGCCAAGGTCAGCAGTGTGTGCAGCACTCTGGGCACCGGGGCAGGGAGCCGGGCTGCTCGGCAGGCTGGAGCACAGGGCAGCCTCCTTCAGGCCCGGCACTTCTGCCAGGGCAAGCGAGGCCAGCGTGAGGCAGGGACAGCTTGGCAGGGCACGTCTGCAGGAGCCAGCGCCTCACGCAGCTCTGGCAGGAAGCGCCTGCAATCCTGCAGTTCTGCACTCAGCCAGAGCAAAGGTGTGAGATGCAGAGTGTTTGGCAGAAATATTCAGGCCCACCAGGCCAGCCTGCTTTGTGTTCTCTGGTGCACAGCAAGGCGCTGTGCAATGCAGCCCTGAGCTGCTGGGAGAGAGATGTTAGAAATAAACAAACTCTTAGATACAATTAAATGGAGACAAAGTCATTAAAGCAAAAGAGAACCTTCTTCTTAGTAAGGATTCAACTGAGCCAGCTGAGTATCTCCCTCTCCTGAGAGCTGAACATACACACACGCCAAGATAATGCTGCTTTTTATTGCTTTTCCCAGCCGTGGAAAAGCAATATTATTTATTGCTGTCCCCTTTCCCTTTGGCTGAGTACTAGGGATCTTCTGTTCTCTCCTGACAGCCTACTTTTCTGTCTCCTCTCCTCTTCTCCTACTTCCCTTTTGGTCTGGTGTTCAACACCTCTCCTTCTCCAGCTCACAGTAACACCCACCAAATTAAGTGGAACAAATGCAAACCATAACTAACACCACCTAGCACCAACAACTTCCATTCTTTTTTCTAATAAGTTTTTGGCTGCAGCAAAATATTACCTCCTATCTCCCAGAGGGAATCAGGGATGAGCCTGAGGCTTGTGCTTGGGTAGTGAACTGATTTGGAAGGGAGCAGAAGGGTTTCAGAAGGCAGTTTGTGTTTTCTTCATTAATTTCTGACGGAAAGAGGCAATGCAGCTTCAGTCAGCAAAAGCGTTTGTGAGGTGCATTGACGAAATGCTTGTGAGCAATTCCCAGAGAAGGAAGGTGTTGAGAAAAAGTTGAATTGTAACAAATGCTGAATTCCTTTAGCTGTAGCAGACAATGTTGAGCCCTCTATTCCCCCAGGGCAGTGATTATTGCCTGCAAATGGCTGTGTTAGCCTTGAGAACAAAGAGAGTGGTCCTCCTAAGAAGGTTTCTGTCCTTTGGTTTGCGCTGCGGCAGGCTCTTGGTGGCCTGGCAGGCAAAGTGTGTCGCGGGCCGTGCCCAGGTGGCGGTGGCTGCGTGGGCTCCTGTGGCCCTGGCCGCTCTCAGTTTCGGCCGTGGTGGCCTCCCCTGGCACCGGTCACGGGGCTGCTCCCGGCACAGGCAGCGGGACCGTTCCTGCTCCTGCCCCCAGCGCCGCTCCTGGCTTTGGCCGCAGCTGCTCGCGGCGCTGGGATGAGCCCCGGCAGCAGAGCCCGGCGGCCCTGATGGGAAAGAGCCCCCGACTGCACCGGGAAGGGGCTCAGCTGTCCCCGCGGCCCCCCTCGGAAGGCAGAAAGAAAGAAAGAGCTTCCTGCACCTTTTGTCCTCTCTTAAATACGCTGTCCCAGAGGCATCACCAGCTTTTCTTATTGGCTCAGCAGTGGGCCTATTTTCAGAGGCACTCAGTGATTGGTTTTGCCTGCAAGGAGAAAGCTTATAGCAGCTCCTCAGAGCTGTTGATTCTAATAAGTTTGGATACATTTCCCCTTTGAATACAGATAAAGCATTGGACCTTCAAGGCATATACTCTTAAACCATGGTGTCGGGTATGCACAGGTGACATTGCGCTCATTGCCTCAACAAGGGGAGCGCAAACATATAAATCCCCCCAGACACTTCAACATGCAAGCTGTTATCCAACTGCACCAACACCTTCTCTCGTAAACCAATTTAGTGCCTCTGTGTTTGCTATCAGGAACTCAGAATGCTCTTTTTAGGACTTTTAAAACAAGCAGTGTCTTTGGATTTTTAAAATGTCACCAATATGAAGAAAGTCTATGTTGCAGCCAGCGAAGTTGCCCTGTGTCTGATGTAGGAAGCTAGCAGGAGGCTGTCGCGCAGGGATTGGCAATACCATGTATAGAAGCCTATGCCTTGGGGTTTCCTCGGCATGGTATATTTTTTCTTGAAAGATTTATGATTTGAAATTGAATCAGAGTTAGTCAGCAAAAAGAAAAAGGAAGGTGCTAATTGACATGGGCTAATCAACAGTTCCAATTAATTTAAACATGTTTTGGGGATGATGATGATGCAAGTTCAATGAATAGGTTTTCTTTTGAGAAGGGTATAAGGACATGACCTCAAGGCTGCAGGACAAACCATTTTTTGTTAGTTAGAAATTCCTGTTATTACCTTCCCATGCGTAGTTTGTAACCTTTCTGTAATCTCAAATGACCTCAGTTCTGTAATTATTGCATCTGCATACCAGCTGCCACGGTCGTATTTTGGTTCAAAATACGTTCGTAAAAGCCATGTTTGTATTTCGGTTCAAAAATAAGAAAACACACAAGTTAGTATTTCAGTGATAGCACTGGCAGACCTTTGAGGTTTAATCCTATTCCTGCTATACTCAGAAACTTGCTCTTGACTTCAGCAGGAGTTGGCATGAGTGCCTAACCATAAATAAATATGGAAGGTAGTTGTTAGTGATTTTCAGCATGAAAATTATTTTATAGACACTGTAAACAGAGGTGACAGGTGACAAATACTCAGAAAGCTCTGCAACTGAAGCCTTCTAATGAAACACCTCTCTTTCTTCAGACCTAGCCTTCAAACACCTCTCTGAGATCTGTGGAGTTGATGGGAACCTCTAGCACCTTTATTGATAGTACCTTTAGTACCTTGATTTGTAAAGGTAAATTATAATTTAAAGCTATGAACACAAAGAGGATATTTAACCACATGCAGCGTCTTTAGACACTGCAATCAATGTTTTCTTTTGCTCTATCATACTCCAGTGTATTTGAGAAAATAATAGTTATGCAAACCTGTGTGTCAGTGTAGTTAATCACAGTGGTATCGTATGGATGGATGTACATACAAAGCTTTGAGATAGAAAATATCAGTTCAGGCTTTGTTAATTCTTACTAATTGATTGGGAGTGCTTTGGTTGATCTGATTTCATGGGATTGCAGTATGTCTTCTTTTAAGGCAGCCTGTAAGATATAACTCTTGACCCCATGTAGCCATGGATTGGCCAGGATTTTTCTCCTGAGAAGCTGAGAGGCCTCAGGAAAGAAATGTAAACAATAATTATCTGCTGCTGTGGAATGTGCTAGGTGGATCTTTGATTGGTCTCATGTGGTTGTTTCTAATTAATGGCCAATCACAGTCAGCTGGCTTGGACTCTCTGAGAGCCATGAGCTTTTGTTATTCATTCCATTCCTTTCCTTTCAAGCCTTCTGATGAAATCCTTTTTTCTATTCTTTTAGTATAGTTCTAATATATCATTTTAATACTATATATATCATAAAATAATAATTCAGCCTTCTGAAGCATGGAGTCAAGATTCTCGTCTCTTCCCTTGTCATGGGACTCCCATGAACACCACCACAACCCCACACATAAGGTATTTTGTCAGACAAAACAAGACACCTTGAGACTGTTCTAAGTTTTTGGAGAATTATAGCCCTAGCTTTGTTTATGTATAGTGACTGTTATTGAATTAGCACTCCCAAAAGGCAGATTTGCATGCAGCAGTGGGGAACAAAGTGACAGGGACCCCCTCATGCATCCAAAGGAGATCCTTTCACTGTAAAAATCACACCCTTTTTATACCTTTAATCTCAACCTGACATAACTGAGACCAAACCCAGACCTAACAGAACTGAGCAGAAAGATGGCACCCATTGGCTGCTGTTACCGAATGTCATGGATGAGCTTGCTACCAAGCCCCAGGATTGACTGCCAGGGGCTTCTCCCAGTCAGGTCTCTTAGGAAGCTGCAAGCATTTCACTGGCCAGATCCCGAGGGGGCGTGGAGTTCAGACCAATGAGAATATGCAGACCAGGTCTTTCAAATGCTCTATATTAGGGGTAGCCTGGGAAATAAACGCTCTCTGTGCCACACGAACCTCGAGGCTGAGCAATCTCTGTCTCCTGCACCAGCAACCCCCACACCTGACCTAACACGTGGTGAACCCTGAAGTGATAAGAACTCAGAAGCACAGAGCAAAGGAGACACACGGCGTTAGAGCTGGAAAATG